TGATAAAATTGTATATTTGATGGGTGACTATAATGTTTTCTGGTAATAATTCTCATAGCTCTTTTTTGCAAAATAAAAATAGAATTAGTAAACGTTTTACATGCCTTACCCCAAATTTCAACACAATAAATCAAAAGTGGAACAATTATTGTGTTATATAATATAAACAGTGCTTTATCGTTAAATAACTCATTTACCTTATGTAGTACTGCAATAGATTTTGCTATTTTTAAGTAATTTATTGTTAATGAAGTGCCAAAAAATTGCATCTTGTTGAACTCTCACACCACTGGGTCCTTTAGATATCTTTTTAATAAGGTAATTAAAATTAATGCCAAAGAATAAGGCTTGAGTCAAAATTTAAAATAAAAAGAAGACTTTCTGATGCTTTAAACTGTAAAATAGACCTCACAAAATGGTGATCTTGAAAAAAATCAAGTCAAATCGTGATCATCTGGGACCACAGAAGATCATATTTTTGTGAGCACATTCACGTATTCATATGCTCTGGTTTGAAACAGCTCACCAGTTTGCATTTWTTACACAGAAGCTTAAAAATTAAAGAAATCCACATGGGCTAATTTAGCAGGATTATATCTCATACCATCTGTTTTACACATGAATACCCAACGAGAATAATTCTGGAGATGTGGCTTTTGACTGACCACTCAGGAAATAGTTTACAATGCATTTTCTTCTCAGTTGAATGGAAATACATCCCAAGGCATTTTATGAGCGTGTGTGCTTAAACACACATTTTGCAGTGCGTAGAGTCACGTTGTGGTTTGGGTTTTGTCTTATGGTTGAGCAAACGCTAAAAAAATAATTGCTAATCAAGCATTCACTGTACATAGGAATGAATGCTTGGAAACTAATAGCTACAACAGGTTATTTGATGCAAACTTWGTGAAGCATGAATATTGATTTGACCAAAAGCTTGTCTGGTTTTTCTCAAATGGTTCACAAAGCGATGTTATTTATGTAGACCTGCTTAAAAGTAGGAAGTCGGAAGGTTCCAGAAATCATGTTGCTTTTGTTTTGCTGTTTCCGTGCGTCACAGATCGTCGGCTGCGATCACGAACTGGGAAGCACGGCGAAGGAGGACAACTGTGGCGTCTGCAACGGGGACGGCTCGTCCTGCAGACTTGTGCGAGGACACTACAAATCCCAGCATGCTTCAGGGAAAAGTAAATGTTTACTTTTTTTTTTTTACAATTGGAAATACAGTGCCACTTTGGTGCCATCAGCTTCACTAGTTAGTACGTAATAAACCAGTTAGCGTTAGCATTATCATTAGCATTATCTGTTTGAATGGGACTTTTTGCTGTTGTTAGCAGGGCAGCTTGCAATCAATAAGTCAATAGGGTTCACCTGTGCAAACCTTTTTGCATATTTGGCACTACGGAGGTGCAAACTTATGCTTTTGCTGCAGTACTTTAAATTGTAAAATTACCGTTGTGTCATCTCTGGCAATGGAACAAAAGTCTGTAGCTTTTATCATATTTATCATATTTCTTTTTCTTTTTTTGGTTTCAAATAAAAATGAAGTGGTTTTCTCTGTCCCACTGCAGCTGAAGACACGGTGGTCGCCATCCCCTATAAGAGTCGACACGTCCGTCTGGTTCTGAAAGGCCCGGATCACTTGTGTAAGTCCTGGTAGGTCTGGGGTGCTCTTAAAACAGTTAATAGTGATGTTTTTATTTAGTCGCTTTATTGCCAAAATAATGGATCAAAAGCAGCCTGAATTAGTTTTCAATTGGACTTGGAGTTGTTTTAAGATGGCAGGAATCCACTTTAGTCTAGGCCCTGCTTGGACTAGCCGTTAGCTTGTCAATCGGGTCAGAATTAAACTCTTTTTCTTATAGTTGTGGGAACATATTTTACATTGTGGATACTTCGAGAAAAGCTGATTTCACACAGGGATGCTRCTAAACAAAAACTTCACTTCCCTTATTAATAAGTCATTGCGCTGTAGCACCCACAGCACCCCAAGTTCCCAAGGCCTTGCTTTTGTTCCAAACAGACGAGTAAGATCCTGACTGTTCTTAAACCCCGCGTCAGAAGATCCAGATTATTCCTTTAAAGCCAGCATTATCTTMTTTTAGCTACATTAGCTCTTCTATTAGATCAAAAACACAAGTCAGACATTAGCTGTCACATTCATCATTAAGTCTCAGATCCTTTCTGGTCAGTTCTGCCTTCTGCAGACCAGTAACAACCCAGGAGAGCTGCAGCTGAGGAGTATCTATAACTGTCACCCTTTGGCCCTTCTTTTTATTCTTTCCAACACATCCAATTTCAAAAACAGAGTTCACTTTCTGTCTAATCTTTACCACCCACCACCAGATTATACTGACGTCAAAGTCATCTYCTCTCCGTACCTACTGTGCTTGTTTTTGTTCCACTTTTAGTTTACAAATTACAGTTAATGAAGCGGACAGTTGAACATTTCCCACTATTTTCTTTGCTTAAAAGCACTTAAATTAAAACCATTTGTCTGCAAGGGTTGACGGCTGCTGCTTCGCTTGTTTTACCTTTGTTTTTCCTCTAAATGTTCACGATGGTATTACGCAGAGCCGTGTTAGGGTTAGTGTCAGAGGTGAGGTCGGGTCAAACAGAGAGGAGGGGGGGAGCTCTTCCCACAGTTCTGCTCCTGGYAGAGCCGAGGGAGTCTCTTGGCCCTAAAAGTAAAAAACCAGACGGTGCTTTTTTGTGGCTCCAGTTAAAGATCTGTGTGTGGTCTCTGATAAATCAAAGTAAACCTTTTGAGGAGCTGAATGTTTGAATCGCATTTTTCTATTTGCTCCTCGATTTTGTTTGAAGAACGGTGACACTTTAATGGTGAAAGACTGCCGAGAGAACGTTCGGACTGGGCAATGGTGATGTTSTGACCATCTCGGCGAAGAGAAACTGAAGTTTTACGCCAACATTTGTGGAAATTCTCTCAGTCTGTCGTAACTCTGATGCGTCTCGTCTGTTTGAGTTGTTTGCTTTTCTTTGTCCTTTAGACGTGGAGAGTAAGACTCTACAGGGGGTGAAAACTGAACTGATGCTGGACCAGTCGGGCCAGTACCACCTGGAGAACACCACTTTGGACTTCCAGAAGTTTTCAGATAAAGAGGTCCTCAGAGTGACTGGGCCACTTGGAGCTGACTTCACTATCAAAGTAAGAGCTGATATCAGTTGTTAATTTACATACGTTCACATACCAAATTAAATACTTTTTTACATTATTTTTTTTATTATTAGAAACCAGGTTGTCCAATTATAATAGTTTTAACAGAATAGCCAAGCCAACATTATTTATAAACACTTTAAACACAGCAAAACTGACCAAAGTGCTTTACAGTTATGATAAAAACAACAAAATAAAACAACCACATAAAATATGTAACAACATGACAAATAAAATGACCTCTCTCATGCTGAATACCAGAAGTCTACCTCATACCTGCAAACATTTGCTGAAAGTAACAASRAACATTGGYTCATGTTAACGAGCAGCTGCGGAGTGAAGCAGTTCTAGGGGGTCCTGGGGTATACTTTCCAAAAAAGTTTAGTAAAAGATATACTCACAGTCTTTTCCAACCATTAAAAGAACATTTTACTCAATTCTTGGAATTAATAAAACAACATAAAATCATTATTTTATGAAGGTAGAACACGGAAAACTAGACTTTAACTTGAACTTTAGCTGAGATCAGAACTGAAACTTCTGATATCCTTATAACCAGTGGTTATCTATAATCAAAATCAGCTATACTCTGATAAAAAAGTTAAAAAATATATATTTTCATCCCCAATTTGTGGCTTTCCATAGATGGACGGCACCCTCAGCATTTGCCTATAGTGCCTACGCCACAGGCCGGCCCTGCAACTAACACAATGGAGGTTTGCCGACACACTGAAAATATTTTGAACACAACGGTCTAAAAAAAATGTCCAGATACTTTTAACTCACAAGATCCCAGTCAGTTAGCACAGGCTTCCTACAGCTTAAGGCAAGTTAAATTTAAGCTTTTTAAGACCTCTTTAAAGCTTGAAGTGAAATTTAAGACAATATCACAATAAACACAAATGGGAAAAAGAATTACACAAATAATTTAAGACAAAACAACAAGTTGCGAGAAGCATTTGATAAATTGTTTAAAAAGATAAATAAATGTTACCAATTCTTTTAATATTCGGGAGGAATTACAGTCATCCTACTTACAATGTGTTAACATTTTTAACACATTTGTAAGACTTTTTAAGGGTAATTAAGGCCTTATTTTTGGATTGATTAATTCAATGCCTTTTAAGACTTCTTAAGGATCCGCGGGAACACTGTGGCATCAGTTTGACCGTTGAGCTGTGTGTAAAGAGCCGTTCCACACCGGCCTCAGATAAGGATTTCACTTATGAACTGCAGCTGAACCTCTGTGTTGAGCAGATTTGGTTTCATATGTTTAGATTTAAAGATATTGGAGGATGTATGAGCCACTCCAATATGAAATTCAAATGACTCTCTTCTGCTTCCCTTGCACGTGTTGAAGCACTGCTATGCTCTGAAAAGATCATTGCTGCTTGACAAACACGTACAGTATCTAGATATGTATATTGGGTTTTAGGGGTAACAGGTTCAGGAGGTAAACTTGGGTATCCCTCTTCCGTGCAACACTCTCCAGTTCCACCTGGGGTTAGTGAGGCATTCCCAGTTCAGAGATAATATATAATACCTCTAGCCAATTTTGGTTCGTTCCCAAGATCTCCTTCCAGTTWAGCCTGGTTAAAACCAGCYCCTTATCCTTCACTTTGCTTCAAACARAAGTGAAGGGAAACTAGAATTGAGCGGAACTGCGTAGGAACGCAAGGGCCAGGCTACTTCTAGTTGAACGTGTCCAAAATTAATTGTGATCCGGCAATATGATGGCCGACTCTTCGAATCTCCTGTAGTGATCCACTCAAGATGATCAAACCCAGCCAAGATTTGTCTGAACATRCATAAAGACCACATGGTTAAAGTGGTGCAACCCAGGCTCCGTTCATCACTTCAACACTTACTCACCAACTTAGCTCTGTGACTACCTCCCTGCGTTCATTTGTTTTATAAATATTCTAAATTGATCTGTGTTTGTCACGTGCCTTATTTCTCTGTTTTTTTGTTTTGTTTTGTCTTCTTCCCAGCCTTCATTTAAATATTAAGTCCTGTTGCTTTTTTTCTAGTTTGTATTGATTTTTTGTAAACTTTTGTTCCTGTAGATACAGATAACCAGAGGAGCCGAAAGCGTGGTCCAATACCTTTACTACCAGCCCATCGTCCACCGCTGGAGAGAGACTGACTTCTTCCCCTGCTCTGTCACATGTGGTGGAGGTAAACGCCATAAAAACTAAAACACATTTTTCTCAATTTGAGAGAAGACTAATACTGATTGGAAATCAAATCAAAGGGCTTTTTTTGGCCTTGGTTGACAATTTCACTTTTGTTTTTTGTTTTTGTTTTTGTTTTAATTTTAATTTTTAATTTTTTGTTTGTTTGTTTGTTTGTTTGTTTTTTGTCCGTAGGTTACCAGTTAACCTCTGCAGAGTGTTTTGACTTACGAACCAGTCAGGTGGTTGTGGACCAGTATTGCCATTATTATCCAGAAAACGTCAAACCAAAACCTAAACTGCAGGAGTGCAACATGGAGCCCTGCTTGGACAGGTTGGGTTCGRCTTCTCTGAGAAGATCAAAATCTTAGTTTCAACATATTTTTCTTTACCCTAATGATGCCTGTCTTTTAGTGATGGTTACAAGGAAATTATGCCATACGACCTCTACCACCCCCTACCTCGGTATGTTCTTAACTCAGAGAAGATTGTGACAAACGTCGCACTGCAAACTCACTGAGTGATGTCTTCATTTCAGGTGGGAGAGCAGTCCCTGGACGACGTGCTCAGCTTCCTGTGGCGGGGGCATCCAGAGTCGCTCGGTGACATGCGTGGAGGAGGACATGCAGGGGAACATCACTCCCACGGACGAGTGGAAGTGTCTCTACTCTCCCAAGACAGCCATCCTGCAGGCCTGCAACACATTCGATTGTCCCACCTGGCTGGCACAGGAGTGGTCACCTGTCAGTACCCTTCTTTATTTTGCTTTTGAGCATTTCTGATAAAGAGACTGTTCCATTCAGAAACTAGCAGAAAGAGTAGAGGTTATCCTATATTATGAGCATAATGCTTTAAATCAAAGAGAATTTGCAACTATTGCTACAACCCCACTACCAAAAACATTGGGACATTGTGTAACATGAAAATAAAAACAGAATGCAATGATTTACAAATTATTACACAGATCCAACGGTAGGCACAGCTAACCAAGAAGTTAGCTTCTCTAACCACTAATCCGCTAAACAAGAATCTTAGCTCCACTAACGCTGAACAGAAAAAACATTTAGAGGAAGCTAACGCTAACGACTAAGAATGTCGGCAGTCTTCCAGTTGAAGACTGGTGGGACTGAAACAGACCTGTTTTTAGTCTTCTATTGATTTCATTTGAAGATGGGATCATTTGTGGCAAATGGACCAATCCAAACCAGCGTTATAGATCTGTCTAATTTGTGATACTTTCAGTTTAACCCTTTCAGAATAACACATCTCTATAATTGAGTTTGTATTTTAAAAAACACAATTTGAATTTAGTCAAACAACAAATAGCAAATACATACTTCTACTAATTTTATACAGTCGATTCTTGTAATCATTATTTAAATTTGTTAAATGGTATTATTTTTGATGCTCTTAGTTTGAAATTTAACTGCTAAAGACGCTACATGCTACACACACAAATTTTTATTTAATTCAAAACAGTAGAGATAGTAGTTTTACACTTGTGAGGTAAGGGTTTTCAAAGTTAGCAAAAAATAATAATTTTACGCTAAATGAGAAGCTAGTACCGCTATCCGTTGGATTAGCATATCTGTGCCCACCACTGCATAGATCCATAGTTTCTTCACAATTAAACATATTAAACATATCAAAGGCTTGAACTAATAAACTGTATCATTTTTAGAAAAAAAAAGATCAATTCAATTTGTTGACAAATATTTCTAGATAGTATTCACATATAGCGTCTTCTTCTTTCCTGTATTTTTAGTTTAAATTGTTTATTCATTTAATTTAAAACCAAAAATTGTATACACATTAAAAACAAAAGATATTCACAAATATATTTACATACAACTATACACAATGGGCCTCATGCAAGAAC